TTGTGTGCGGACCACCGTAGCTACGAGAGTCAACCTTGGAAAGAAATGTCAATTTGTAAAGTTTAATCATTTTAGGCCGCCTAGGGTTTTTAAAGGTTTCAGCCCCCGTAACAAGAATTCTGTAGTGGAAAAACAATTGTGCGGTGCATTTGGCTGAGGGAAAGCTGGAAAGATCAGGGTTCCGTTGCAATTTGGGCCACTTGGACGGCAGAGCCCGAAGCATAAAACACTTGATGTAGCTACTTTGACTTTGTTGGTGTTCCGCAATGTTTCAGCAACTTGAAGGTCTAAGCCACTGGACGCTCCAGATAACAAGAAGGCAGGCCAAAAAAACGTCCCTGCATAGTGCTAATTAATTGCTTTTAACAAGAGTTCAGTTTCCCGCCCTTAGGCAAGAAACCTGAGCTTTCCTGCGTCCTACGTAGTAGGTTCTTAACCTACTACTTACCCCTTGCTACTAGTCATAGACCTAAGCCTACTCTTATGGTCTACCCCCGGGCTGCAGAGTTGTATGCCTCAGGCCGGCGCCCCCCAAGACAACTCACCTTGCAAGCTCGAGTCGGAAGCGAACGAGGCCAGGACCAGATGAACCTCCTCTAGAATTCTCTAGAGTCCTTGGTCTCTAGGTCGAGCTTACGTCGCCAAAACGAATTACCAGAGGAGGACCCGACATTTGCCCCCCTAGCTGCCCCAGCGCAGTGCTCAATGCTGTGAGCACCCTGTCATAGGAGACGTGGAAAGCCATCGAAGCGAACATCGACGAGGTTGAAACGGTTGAAGTGGTCAAGCAGACCGCAATCGATGTGAGAACTGAGGAGGCTCGACAGACTCAGGAGGCTAATGCTTCTCAGATCCGGATTGATCTCAGCAGCTGCTGGAAAGGGTTTCAAGAGCTCCTGGCCAAGCTCCAGCCCAGTGGCGAAGTTGGAAAGGTCTTGGATGCAGCCAAGGAGCTTTGCAAGGGATTGGACCCTGAGTTGGGCCGAGAAACTTGTGCAGCACATGTCCTCCAATGCTCCTTTCTGCGGCTGACAGCTGCAAACGCTCTACTGGAATTGGCCGCAGCGATTGAGGAGGAGTGTCTTGCACCCATCGTGAGCACCTGCATTGCAGCGCGGACGGTGCTCAACGCTGTGGCGCAACAGATTGACGAGGGAAGAGGTGATTCTCAAGCAGAGAAGAGTTATGTGAACAGCTCGGACAGCTTGGAACCAGTACCTCAAGTCAAGCAGTTGATGAAGATCACGAGCGAAGTGGAAGAGCTAAGCGCTTTGACCAACCCCGACATCAACCCTGTCCTACATGAATGTCATTGTTTCTGTTGGAAGTTGGTCGTGTCCTCGGCTGAAGTTCTTTCCAAAACAGACAATGAAGAGGTGCTACTAGGAGCAAAGGGCATCGCTACTAGGAACAAGAAGCTACTAGTGACAAAGGGCATCGCTACTGGTAACAAGGACACTACTAGAATCCTGAAGAGGTGCAGGAGGCGTATCGGAGCGACTCCAAAGACCTGAAGAATTCAGAAGTCGCCACCAGGCGCAGAAAGTACGGTAACATGAGACGGTGTGAAACAGCATGTGAAACAACGTGTGAGACAATGTGAGATAGAATCGAAAAGGATATGTACTCATTGTGTGCTTCCCTGCTACGAGAGCGTGCCAGACTCATCACTCATCACAAAATGTGAGAGAACCCTCAATCATAGGCTACAGAGGCATGAATAGACAGGAGATGCATAATATGTCCTTTACATTCCATTACCATCCATTATACCTGAAGGTGGCACTGGGTTTTGATGGCCTGTTGGAAGGTCAGCTGCTTGTGCCACGTTGGCTCTTGGCAGGACGATGGCTTTGGAGGCCATGGGTTGGTCCTATTTCACACCAGAGACGTCGACAGAGTAAGTAAGTGCCAAAAAATACCCTGATGCAGGCAGTGAAGGTGCAATCAGACAAGCTGTCGGTGCTAGAGGCAAGCATTCCCTGATGCAATTGAAGCCTGCAAAAACGACAGGTACGAATTTCTATATGTTTTCTGAGGTCCGCGCTCGCCTGCGGGCAGCGAGCCTGGCAGCGATTGGCAAGGTGACCTCAGATTTACAGGTGGAGGCACCACTGCCTGAGCACTGGTATCAGTGTTGTGGCACCGTAGTTGGAGGTGAAGGAGCAACGAATCTCGCAAGCAGCCCTCGAAGCGGCGGACCTTGAGGTGGACAAACAGTTTGAGGACACAGGGCATTTCACCTTGCTGTTCGTCGTTGGTCCTGCGCAGTCGCTTCCTTCACTTTCCCTCTTCTTCTATCCTGATTTGCTTAGTAACAAGAAGCTACTAGGGGCTCCTGGCCGTACTACTAGGAGCAAGAACGCTACTAGGGGCCCCTGGCCGTACTACTAGGAGCAAGAACGCTACTAGGGGCTCCTGGCCGTACTACTAGGAGCAAGAACGCTACTAGGGGCTCCTGGCCGTACTACTAGGAGCAAGAACGCTACTAGGGGCCCCTGGCCGTACTACTAGGAGCAAGAACGCTACTAGGGGCTCCTGGCCGTACTACTAGGAGCAAGAACGCTACTAGGGGCTCCTGGT